CAATTCCTACTTTGATAGGCGTTTTGATTTTTCTCTAATTTTGAGCGAAGTTATCTTGACAACCACATGGCTAAATTTGATGAATTTTTTTTTTATTTGAATTCTATGAATCTATAGAATTTAAATCTAAAAGGTTTTATCAAATTCAAGCAGTTAGTTATCAATATATCTTCGTTCAAAGTTTTTACGTTTTTATTTTTACCGGGATATGCAAAACGGTTTATATATCATGTGGGGGTGGCACTAACAAATTGGGAGGTGGCAATAACAACTCCCTAAATGTTTCTAGCTTCATTTTTATGTTTTTGATTTTTGAAATTTATATATATATATATATGACATCAGACCTTGACAAATATGAAGAAGGCATCATAATAGCTTCACATTGTCTTGACCGAAATATAAATCAAATGTATGATATTATGCAACAACTTTTAAGAGAAACTAATTTCGATAATGTTGAAAAGTTGCGTACTATTATTTATGGTGTAAGTATTTATCGTACTCTAAAAAAATTTCGACTTTATAGAATTAATCTCTTAATATAACTTAAAGAATGCAACCAATATGATGAATTCTGTTGTGGAATCTGGGCATGCGTACGCGAAAACATTTGCAGCTTCACGAATTGCCCCAGCCATGGTAATTATGATATATTAAAAAAAGTGAAATCGATATTTTATTAATGAAATTAATGTTTCATATGTAACTTTAGGGTAGTTCTGAAATTTATGGTGGAATGACACAAGTTTATTTTATGAATAAATTAGCAACGACTGAAGATTTTCAAAGCATTATTAACAAATTGAAGGTATTGTATTAAGTATTCATGTAATTTTTTTTAAAAAAAGAAAATTTAATGTCTTATTCATTGGTTTGCTAAATTTTCTAAATTTACAGGAAATATCTTCATATTTACTAAGCAAACCATCACTGCAAGTTGCAATCACTTGTGATGCAGAAGCTGTTGACCAGAATGAAGTTATGTTAAAAAAGTTTTTAACGAGTTTTCCAGATGTTACTAAAAGTAATAGTCATGCCTTTGAACAAGTAAGAACTATAACCTGCACCAATAGTTTAAAATTCATAAATTTATCCAATTTGCTGATTATATCAAACTTGTATTTAAGCCAAAATTTCAGATGTCACCCGAAAAAGCATTTTTCCCATTACCTTTTGCGGTAAATTTTTCTGCAAAATGCTTTCGTGGCATACCCTATACACATCCCGATGGCTCTAAATTACAGGTATTTTGTAATTAACGTGTTCTACCGTGAATAAGTGCTTCTTTTTTGAAATTTACCTCGAGAATTAAGGTGCCTATTCACGATAGAATACGGTAATACATATTACATATACATAAATTAATATTAAACTTTATCTTGCCTAAATTAAAGGTTCTTGCATCTTTAATGAAAACACATTACTTACATCGTGAAATAAGAGAAAAAAATGGTGCATATGGTGGTGGTGCGATGTACTCTCCTGCAAGCGGCATATTTTCGTTTTTTTCATATCGGGATCCCAAAACCTTGGAAACTTTAGAGACTTATAAACAAGCAATTGATTGGGTAGCGAATCGGAAGTTTAGTCAACAGGTAAATATGTTTGGTTAAACTTTTATACATCTAATTACCACAAATTTAAATAATCTTGTCTTGTTTTAAGGAAATGGGTGAAGCGAAATTATCAATATTTCAGAGTATAGATGCACCAATAAGTGTTGCACAAGAAGGCTTAATATATTTTGAGGACCGGATTAATGATGATATGAGACAATTGTATGGATCAAATTTTGTTTTATAAAGTAATGTAATTAATAATTATCATTAATTTTTTATAAAATTTTTTTGTTAAAAGACGTCGTGAACAATTGTTATCAGTTACAGAGGATGACATTAAAGAGGCAGCGAAAATTTTAGAGCAACAAGAACGTTCAAATTGGAGTTCTGTTGCGATTATTGGAGAAGGTAAACCAGAAATTTTAGAAGGTGGTAAATGGAAAGTTTATCAATGAAAAAGGTGACTGAAGAATTCTAGACAACTAAGAAATGGACTAAAAAGCTATTTTTAAATATATATATATATATATATTTTTTCTTACGCTATTTTCCACAGAATAAAATTCTCTAAACTTCCTTTTAATTGGAATGTTAATATAGTTAATTTAATAAACTAATTTTTAATTCTTTAAATATGTATTTATCGAATAATAACTGCATATTTTATTATATCAAAACATTGGTAATTCGAGTAATCATCTACTAAGTTTTATGAGAAAAATACACCAATGAGACGTTTGAAAACTATGGACACAAAAACTTTTTAAATATTTTAAATCAATTTTCTTTTGAATAACTATTAAAACTATTAAAGCCATTAATTATTCTCTTATGAATCAAGGCCTATTAGAGATACGTATTCGCCCGTTTTTTCTCTGAACAAATGACTGATACGAACCAACCATCTAATAGATTAAGTTTAGATTTGTTATTACATTTTCATAAGCATTCTAATTTCACGCTATGCCCAATACAGCAATAGTATCGTTTAATTCAATAATAATTTGAGCTATAATATTTTATCGTCTTTATTCATTATATGCTAAATTATAAACTGATCTGATAAATAGTTAGATATACTGTACTAATTAACATTACATAAAATTATATCCTTTAGTTAAATTTTTATTAAATTTTTTAAGCAAAATTTTATTCATTTTTATTTAATATACTGTATTATCGTGCAAACTCTTATGATCATAGATTTTTTGAATATAATTAAAGACTGTATTGGTTTTTTTTTTGTCTACCTTGTAGATGAATCATATCCAGTATTTTCTGAA